CCTGTGCTTCCTCTGCCCAAATAGAGTCTCAAGGAAGAGGACAGAGTTTTCAGTGAGTGTTGAATGCTAGTGACATCCACACACACAACTCTAGTCTGGAAGAAGGGGTATAATGTGAATTCTTAAGTGGAAATTGAGAAAAGAGGCCATCTCCCCTCCCCAAAAAATCTCATTGACAAAAATTATTTTGTGGGAGCTTTGGACAGAGGCAAATTTACAACTTAGGAAGAATGAACAGTGGAGTTGAAGTAGAACTAGAAAAAAGGCAGTATGGACCAGACTGCCCACCTGCTCCAGGATTACCCACCCACCTGTTTTGTAATGTGCAACTAGATGAATCCTTGAGCCTTTAGGGAAGAAGGCCTGAGACCCACATGTTAAAGTGACCCGAAATAAGTAGCGCAAAGGAACAAATGCAGTGTCTGTGACTGAAGGGGTGGGGAGGGTGGGACAGTGTTAACTTGCTAGCACTACCAAGTTCCTAAAAGACCAAAAACTTGACTTCCAGACAGCTTCCAACCTGAGGCTTGACCTCATTTTAAGGCTCCCAAGAAGAGTCCCATTTGTTAGCAAAGCCACTTTATTCTGAAAAAGTTTTTTTTTTTTTTTTCAACGTTTATTTATTTTTGGGACAGAGAGAGACAGAGCATGAACGGGGGAGGGGCAGAGAGAGAGGGAGACACAGAATCGGAAACAGGCTCCAGGCTCTGAGCCATCAGCCCAGAGCCCGACGCGGGGCTAGAACTCACGGACCGCGAGATCGTGACCTGGCTGAAGTCGACGCTTAACCGACTGCGCCACCCAGGCGCCCCATGAAAAAGTTTTTAACACAAATATACGAACTAGCAATCCCGGGAGCCTTCACGTCTACGCTTCCCATCGCCTCAGTGTCCGGTGCATGAGGAAGGTATCTTCTGAAGGGCGGGGCCGGAGTTGGAGACGCAGAGGAGGCAGACCGTCCACGGTCAGGTGTGGAGACTCATAAAATAATGTTTCTGGGTCACAAAGGATGGTCATGTCTGGCCCTGGCCCAGGTGGCTCCTGTTGGGAATTGGGAGCCCAAAGTGAGGTTACACTCGGGAAGGGGAGGAGGGCACAAGGCCGAAACTCAAGCCCAGGTCCCTCACCTTTGGGGGCGGGGCTCGGGCCTGCGGTGGTAGGAGCGCCAGTTTCTCCCTCAGCGCCGCGTTCAGAACCTGTTCCTCTGGCACCTGCAGGCTCACCAGGTCTCGGAAGAGCCGTTTGGAGCGCGGCACGTTCAGCCCTGAGACCGCAGGGGGAGCGGAGGTGAGCGGCGCCTCTCAACCCCACTCCCGCGTCCCGCCGGCCGTCTCTCTCTCACCCTCGGCCACGCTCTCCTCCAGGCCGCAGCGGGTCTGGAACGACTTTCTCAGCTGTTCCTCCACGGCCTTCGCGGCATCGAACTGGCCCTCGGCTGCAGCCCGCGCGGCCTGCAACTCGAGACTCAATGCCAGGCTGCTCTGCTGCGCGGGCGCCCCCAGGTCCTGCGGCGCCGAGAGCTTCTCGCTGGGTGCGGCGGCGGCCAGCAGCGGCTCGGACCGCACAGGGGAGAGCGGTGCCAAGCGAAAGCGTACCTGGGAGCAGAGAGTGGGGCGGTGAAGAGGTGGGCGCGGGCTCGTCTGCGGGCTGGCGGGCAGGCCTTCCCCCAGCTCACCTGCCGCCCCTTGCGGGCCCCGCCCCGCCGGTCCGCCCGCCCCTTCCGCCGCCCAGGGCTGCAGGTCGGCCGTTCGGGGGTCTCGGACCGCGGGCTCAGGCTCAGGCTCAAGTCCAGGCCAGGCTCGGGAACTGGGGCTCTGGGCTCCGGGGCGCGCGGTTCCGGGGGTGGCCCTGGGGCCGCCACGGCCTCCTCCCCTTCGACCAATTCCAGCCCTGGCTCCTCACAGCCCATCATCTTGGTCTGGCTACCAGAGTGCAAGGTCTCTGGAGGCCAGGGGTCACAGAACACAAACTCACCGCCCCTTCTCCCCCGCCCCTCCCCTTCCAGACACCGCTACCGGAAATCGCTTGCCCCTACCCAAACAGGGCGGAAAGACCAGCCCCTGCCCCACCCCATCGGCGCTTCTAAGCGTCATTTCCGTTACTCCCCTCCCTGTCTCCCCGAGGGCTTCCGCCCACAAAACCTCGGCCCCACCCCTAAGCCAAAGTTTCAGAGCTGGAGCCCGTGGAGGCGCTACGGGTCCTCACGAGGACCATTTCTTCTTTGGAAACCTGGATGTGGCGTCTTTTTCCTGCAGTCTTGATCTGACTTCTGCTCGAAGCCGGAGTGTGCGTGTGTTAAGTCTTTTATGCCAAATGGGACAGCTTTAACTGAACGGTCAGGCGCCCCCACGTCGGCCCTCCCTACTCGGTGCCTTCACAGCATCTCCGTGTGTTTCGTCGCCTGCCAACTGCGACGGGAGCTTCCCAGTATGAGTGAGGGAGAAGCTCTCTGACCCCCCAGACCCGACTTCTTCCCGGGACTCTGGGCGTTCATGGTTGCCTCGGCAAGAACTGCCTCGTTCAGCCTTGCAGCCGTTTGTGACTTTTTCCCCTTCGAGGGCTCTCTAAAATATTCGTCTCTTTAAAATCGGTGTCTGTAGGGGCGCGACCCACTCTTGATTTCGACCCAGGTCATGATCCCACGGTTGTGGGATCCAGCAGGGGTGGGGCTCTCCGCTGAGTGTGGAGCTGCTTGAGATTCTCTCTCCCCCTCTGCCCCTCTCCCCTCCTCGCGCACAGTCTCTCTCTCTCTCTCTCTCAAATAAAAAATAAGTAAATAAAAATAGTTACCTGTATGTTGAGTACAGTTTTTAAAAAGGAAAAAAAAAAAAAAGGCTCGGGGGATTGCAGGGCAGGAGACTGGATCGCTTGCCCGTTTCCTGTGTTCCTTGGGGCAGGTCCTCTCAGTTCTGTGAGCCTCTTTTGTCTTGTGTGAAATGTGCTAAGTTGGGCTCATGACTCTTGAGGTTCTCCCCAGATGGGTTATTACTCCGTCAACAGGCACGTTTGTCTGCCACTTTGCAGTTTGAGTGTTTTCATATGCTTTATCTTTCTGAAAACTGCTGTGGAAGATCCGGTAGAAGGCATAGATAGCTACGTGCATTTAAAAAAAAAAAAGAAAAAAAATGTTTCTGAGGATCTCAGGGGTGAAACACTAGAGGCTATCCTGTCTTCAGCAGGAAAGTATACAAATTCTTCTACTATTCATTTGTGACAGGGAGTGGGGAGGTACAAATGTAAATTCCTGCGTTTTTTTTTTAAGTGGAAATATAACTCAAAAACTTTGTAAGAAGGAGCGAACAAAATGAAAGCAAAAGAGGCTAGACTTTGATATACTTTGTTTTGTGTGTTTGACTTTGAAGCCTATGTTTTCCATAGCTATATGACAAAAATTAATTTTTAAAGATCAGTCCCTATGGGGCATCTGGGTGGCTCAGTCCCTTAAGGTCAGACTCTTGATTCCGGCTCAGGTCATGATGTAACAGTTAGTGAGTTCAAGCCCCGCATCCGGCTCTCTACTGTCAGCACAGAGCCTGCTTTGGATCCTCTCTCCCCATCTCTCTCTGCCCCTCCCCTGCTCATGCTCGCTCTCTTTCTCTCAAAAAATAAAAAATATTTTTTAAAAATCAATCCCTAAAAGTTGAAAGTAAAATGAAATAAATGAACCTAAATGTGATTCTACATGGTGGCCTAACTTAATACGGAAGGGAACTTTTCTCAATGACTTGAAAACACATAAATTTAACTGTACATCCCAAAGATCTGCCCTAAGGACAAAATTAACTGCCATTAAAAAACAAAACAAAACAAAACAAAAAAAAAAACACCTGCCCTAAAGTCTTAAGTTATATTCAGTAGTCATGTGTGAAATAGGTAAAAATGTGTAGGACAAAACATACTTATGTTAATAGTATCAGAACTGGAATTTTCACCTAGTAGAAAAGGATATAAAATCAATGATGTCATGCAAATTCTCTGCCATATTGAATTTAGGAAGTATCTTATGAACCCCTGGTGTATTGTGGTTTAAATTGAAAAGTGTATCCTAGTTCTGTCCACTGAAAAGCCGTTAGAAACAATGATGGACCCAGTAAGCACCCATGGCCCCCAGAATGTGGTAGCTAATTCCATAGCCCTGAGCACTTCAAAACTCATATACATGGTTATAGCAGCTTTATTCATAATAGCCAAGAACTTGAAACAACCCAAATGTCCTTCACCAGGTAAATAGTTAAATTATGGAGGTACCTGGGGGGTTCAGTTGGTTAAGTGACCAACTTCGTCTCAGGTCGTGATCTCCCGGTTCATGAGTTCGGCCCCACATTGGGCTGTCTGCTATCAGCCTAAATAAACAAACAAACAAACAAATAAATGTTAAACTATTGTATATCCATACTATAAAATGCTACTCAGCAATCAAAAGGAACATACTATTGGTACACAACAACTTGGATGAATTAGCTAGGTTATGCTGAGCCAAAAAAAAAAATAATAAAAGCTGGGGTGCCTGGGTGGCTCAGTCGGTTAAGCATCCAACTTCAGCTCAGCTCATGATCTCACGGTTTGTGGGTTTGAGCCCCACGTTGGGCTCTGTGCTGACAGCTCAGAGCCTAGAGCCTGCTTCAGATTCTGTCTCCCTCTCTTTCTGCCCCTCCTCTCTCAAAAATAAACATTTTTAAAAATGCATCAAAATCTCCTGGATGGCATGTTAAAACACAGAATGCCAGGCTCCAGCAAAGAGTTTCTGATCCAGTAGGTCTGTAGTATGGCCCAAGAAATTGAACTTAAAAAATTTTTATTTTATTATTTTTTTAAATGTTTATATATTTTTGAGAGAGACAGAGACAGAGCATGAGCCAAGAAGGGGCAGAGAGAGAGGGAGACACAGAATCTGAAGCAGGCTCCAGGCTCTGAGCTGTCAGCACAGAGCCTGACACGAGGCTCAAACCCACAAACCATGAGATCATGACCTGAGCCGAAGTTGGACGCTTAACCAACTGAGCCACCCAGGCGTTCCCCCCAAGAAATTGCATTTCTAATAAACTCCCAGATGATGTTAATGCTGCTGGCCCTAGCCCACATTTTGAGAACCACAACTGGTAAATGGTGATGCCTCAGCCTACCTTGGCCCCAGGGCCTGACTACCCAGGCTCTTACCCATAACCCCTAGTGCTTCCCAACCTGCAAGTGGGGCAGGTGGCATGAAAGAGGTCTTTGGGCAAATACTATTTGGGATGTACAACTTGGGGAGAAATGTGGCAGTTCCCCCCAGACTTTGCTGCTCCCCCCTCCCACTCCCAGGTAGGCCCACCCAGAAGCTACTAAGCCTTTGGCCTAGGGCTAGTCCTGGGCCCTCTCCTACTTCTCAACTCCTTTCCTGGCTGATTTCCACAGCTCCTAGACCAAGCGATCAACAACTGTGAGTGTGTGCATTTGGGTGAAAGGTGGTGTAGGAGGCTGAATAATGACCTCCCAGAGACATGAGGCCCAATCCCAAGTCTCCTTAAAAGAGGGAGGCAGCAAAGAGGAGACAATGTGAGAGAGATCAGAGTGGCCACCAGAGGCTGGACGAAAGCAAAGAATGGATTCTCCTCCAGAGCCTCTGGAGGGAGCACAGCTCTCCTTGCACCTTGATTTTGGCTCAGGGAAACTAACTTCAGACTTCTGACCTCCAGAACCATGAGAGAATGAATTTATGTTGTTTTAAGGCATTGAGTGTGTGGTAACTTGTTATGGCAGCCCCAGAAAACTAATACAGTTGGGCGAAAAGTCTGGGCAGCACCTCGGGCTTGGGTCACCGTGTTCCCCAGGATCTCACCCACACTCTCACCTTGGCAGCATCCCCATCCCTTGGGGGGCTGAGATTGGAGTCCCCTTGGTGAGAAGGATCTGGTCATGAAGGACCATCTTGTCCTGAGAAGGCTTCCCCAGGCTCCAGAGAGTTACCAAGGGAAACAGGTAAAGACAGGAGAAGGAAGAGTGGGACGCGGGAGATAGACAGGTGGTGTATTGGAGGCACTGGGAAGGGAAGCCTGGTGTTGGCATTATAGAGGAATGACTCACTGGGGTCCCTCCATGTAGGGAAAGGGATGGGGGCCATATCAGCACAGAGGGAGGGGCCATTAGGGGAAGTCTTGTGTGAAGAAGTTAATGGTGAGGGTCTCTGTCCAGCAATGCCCATCCAACGGCCTCCAACATCTCAAGGTCCAGGGAGTGGCCACACAGCTGGTCACTGATCATGTCCAAAGCATCAGGCAACCATGGCAACCAGGAAGCGTGCTCAAGAAACTGAGGCCTTAGATACTGAGTTTTAGGAGACCAAAACCTGGGCTGCTAGCAGAGCCCTAGGAATTAGGACCCAGCCCCCACCCTACCCCTGACAAGCTCCTCTCTGCCATGCACTGTGTCAGTCCTTAACCCAAGAAAACCCCCAAATGCCCAGCACGTTTCCTATCTGCATCCTAGGCTGAAGAAAGGCGTGTTGCTCTGGCACCAATGAGCTGAGCAAAGATCTGGAATTGGGTTGGTTCTAGGCTAGAGGGATGGAGGGGCCACAAGCAGGAACCAGGTAGTCCAGCAGGAAGTGAACTTGGCAGAGAAAGAGGCCTTCCACACTGCTGTCGCCAAAGATGTGCCTGTGGGCACAGATATCACATCTGCTGCCCCAGGTCCATAGTCCACGCTTAGGGACAGAGAGAGGAATAGGAGGGACTCACATCCCAGAGAGGACTGGGCCTGGGTCCAGAAGCCAAAGGACTCCCCCCCACCCCCACCCCCTCCAGCAACACCATCTCTTTCCTCTTTAGGCCTTAGTCTTCTCATTATTAAAGGTGGAGGTACTATATTAGTTGATCTCTGAGCAGCTTCTGTTCCAGGCAGTATATCCCCTCCCCCAAACACCACACACACACACACACACACACACACACAGAGTTCAGTCTTTTGCCACCACCCAGGGGCTGGTCCCCTCCCCTTGGCATCTCCTGCAACCAGCCCCTTCCTCTCTCCTTCCCAAGACTCTCACTTCTCCCCAGGACTCTAGCATCTCCCCTCCCCACCAGCCATGGCAGCCTCCCCAGTCAGCCCCCAGCCAGGAGTGGCAATTCAGGATGACTGGATAGATGTGTCCAACCAGCCAGGCCTACCAGGCGCCGCAGGAAGCAGCGAGTATCCTGATGCAACTTAAAAGTGGCAGGTCTGAGGATGGATGCTGGAGATCAACTGCTTCTTGGCAAAAGAGAAAACCCTAGAAGCATAAAGTGGGTGCAGTGAGAGCTGGAGCGGTGGAGCAGGTCAGATCTCCTGCCAGGAGCAAGCTCCGTGCTTTGGGAGTCATCCAGTGAGCAAGGAACTGAGGTAACACAGGGCACAGGTCAAATGGAGGAACAGGAGAAGCCCTGGAATGGGAAGCCATCATTCCAAGAGAGCCCCACCATGGCCCGAAGCTAAGCTGGGACATTGGGCACCAAGACCAGGGTTCCCCAATCTGATCAAAATCTCCTCTTCCTTCTCTACCTTCAGGCCAGTGGTCCCAGCTCAGGGTGTTCCCCTTACCCAATGCAGCCTAGATATCTCTCCCCTCCTCCACTTCCAAGAGACTGGTTCTCCATATCCTTCTCTTCCTCTTCTCTAGATCCTAGGCCAGCTTCTATCACTCCACTCCCAGCATCATCTCTGCCCCACTTGGCGCTGGAGGCATCCATGCAGTGAGCTGGATGTTCCTGAGACCATATCCATCCTCTCCAGATCTTCTCTGCCCACCCTCAAATCTGCAGGGTGCCCAGTGTGGTTCTGGGAGGGTGGGTGGGAGTCCTCTTCATAGCCCTTATAATATCAGCTTGGAGGATCAACATGCCTGGTTCATAGGGCTCATCCACTTGTCCTGTACTCCCCAGAAATCCCACCAGGAAAATCTCATCTTGCTTACAAGACACTCTCACCTGCAAGGGGTAGTTATGCTTTGGCCGATGAGGTGACCCCCAACACACACACATGTAAGCATGTACTTGTTAACAGGTACAGGTCCCACTGAGGAGCAGCATCAGGTCATGTCACAGAGCACTATCCATCAGAAGAGAGTAGATCCCTTGGGCCAGGCTCTATGAAGACCTCCATGGTCCTGTAGAAAGCCAAATTCGGTGTAGGATGGCAGATGCACCTGCTGGGAAGAGGAGGAACAAACTTGGAGAGATGGTGCAGGGACACTGGGGCAGCCCACAAGGCAATTTTGTGCAAATTAGAAAAATGTGCCCCTTTCCTGAAGCCCTTTACTGCCATGTGGTGAAAAATTGCCCTAATGGTTCCATACATGTCTGTTGATTGTAGAGTTGTGCAGTGCACAACCTACACAACAGTAACCGTTGGCCCTGAAGGACGGAGAGAGAAGGAGGAGGGGCCCCTAGGTTCAGTCAGGGAAATGGGGAAAGCAGTGATCAGTGACATCCAATATCACTAACTGTGGGATCTTAGAGGTGTTACTGAACTCCTCTAAACCACAATTTACTGATTTGGAAACCAGCAGTGATGGCCTTAGGGCCTAAGAGACAGTCTGCCTTCAGGACTAAATGAGGTGATGGATGCAAAGCTCTGTTAGGCATGAAGTGCGAGCTCCGGTGATGGTGGACATGGCAGCAAGAACAGTAGAGCAAGAGGGTGAGACAGGCTAGCTGTTCCCGGGCAGGGGACAGGTTTCACTAGCTTGTTGAGAAGGGGTGTGTGTCTGTGTGTGTGTGTTGTGTTGTTGTTTTGGCTTTATTTGAGAGCGCGCGCGCGCGAGAGAGAGAGCTGGGGGTGTGGAGGGGTGGGGGGTTGGAGCGAGGGGCTCGATCCCAGAACCCTGGGATCAAGACCTAGGCCGAAATCAAGCCTCAAGACGCTCAACCCAAGCCCGGAATTGTTTTAACTAGAAATTAACTGTCCGGTGGAACCAGTGTCCAACGGCCGAAGTTACCACGGTGGGCGGACCCCGAGGACACAGGGCAGGGGCTCCGTAAGGGCCGCGGCGAGGAGGGGCAGGGGCTCGGGTCTGAGGCTCACACAGGGACGCATCCCTGTTCGCGGACACTGCCAGGAGGCCCTCCCGCCCCTCCGCCGCCGTGGCCGCCGCCCCTCCAGGCCGCTGCCAGCTCCTACCCTGGGGCCGAGGAGCGGCGAGAGGGCGGTGGCAAAGCCTCGGCGGATCGGGCGTCCGCGCACGCCAGCGCCACCTGGAGCTCAGGAGAGCGAGGTGGCGGATCGCGCAGGTCCCCCAGCTCGGCGGCCGGCTTGGTGCCGCGCTGTCGTTCCACCCGGACATCCCACCCGGAGCTTGGTGCCCTGGGGCCGGGTCTCCCCGCACCTACACCAGTCGGACCGCGGGAGGAGGCGGCAGAGACCCCCGGGGCGGCCAGGGCCTCAGGGGTTGTGGGGTGACGTCACGGGGTTGGGCCGGTAGCCAGGTTTGGCACGCACTGCCTTCATTGTGTACCCTTCCTCCCCTTTCCTCAGTGACTTCAGGGTAAAGTGCAAATTCCTTCAGTTTCCAGCTTTATATCACCTTTCCCACCCAAAGGAAGTCCCCAGGACCCCAGGCTGGAGCCTTCAACTACCCAAGGGGCCTTCCATGACCTTTCCCCAGGGCAGCTTCTGGTGCATGGCCCCCCCATCCAACCCATCTCAGGTTAAAATATAATTCCCAGGCCTCACTTCAATCCTGGCTTTGAGGCCAGGGATCTGTATTATTTTTCTCCTTTTTAATGTTTATTTAGAAAATTTAATGTTTATTTATTTTTGAGAGAGAGAGAGAGAGAGAGACAGAGTGTGAGCGGGGGAGGGGCAGAAAGAGAGAGGGAGACATAAAATCTGAAGCAGGCTCCAGGCTGTCAGCACAGCCCAAGGCAGGGCTCCAACTCACAAACCATGAGATCATGACCTGGGTGGAAGTCAGATGCTTAACCGACTGAGCCACCCAGGCACCACAATGTTTATTTATTTTGCCCCTCACAAGCAGAGGAGGGGCAGACAGGCGGGGGGCACAGAGAATCTGAAGCAAGCTCTGTGCTGACAACAGTGAGCCCCATGTGGGGCTCGAACTCAGGAACCAGGAGATCATGTCCTGAGCTGAAGTTGCCCACTCAACAGACTGAGCCACCAGGTGCCCCAGAATCTGTATTTTTAACGAGTTCCCAGGTGATTCTGATGTGTCTGAAAGCTTCGGAATCTAATGGTCTGCATTCCTGCTCAATATGGCAGTGGTTCTCAAACTTCGTCTGTCTTGTTAAAACAGATGGGTGGGACCCGCCCTCAGAGATTCTGATTCAGTGGGTCTGGGATAGGGCCTGAGAGTCTACATTTCTACCCATTTTCAGGGTGCGGCTAGTACAGCTGGTCTAGCACCACACCCTGAGAACCACTTCTCTGGTGTGTTTAGAAGACCTATTCACCTGCTGCCAATTCACCATGTATCAAGCCCTATGCAAGGCACTTCACATTCATGCAGCCGTGTGACATTAAGTATTTACTGTATTTTCCAGATAAGGAAAGTAAGATTCAGACAGGTTAACTCACTTGCTCAAGGTCACACAGCTAGGAAGGATGGGTTTTTCTGAGTTGGCTGTATCTCTTGTGCACTGCTAATTATCTGCCCTCTGAGGGTTTTGCTTGTCTCTAGAAGTCAACCCCAGCACTCCGTGAAGCCTGAAAAGGTACAGGAGAGGGCTTTGAGTCCCGTTCCCACACTGCCCTGGGTTCAGGGGACTGATTTTGCTGGGTGCCAGGTTCTCTGCTCAGAGAGTTCATGAGGAAGGGACTGAGAAGCCACCTTGTGTAGTGCTGACCCCTACTTCCATTGCTCCCGCTCACATCGAGAGTGGAAGATCCTGACTTCTCCCTGATTGGCTCCAGAGCCTCCTGGACATTCACCAGGGAATGGGAGGAGGGAAGGACACAGAAAAGGATGGAGGCAGGGCCATCAGAGAGCAAAAAGGAGAGGCAGTGCCGCACAGGTGCCCCGGCACCTGTCAGTACTGCCTGGAGGTATTGCCCCAATAAGTCCTGGGTGGCAGCCTGTCCTCAGGGGCAGGGACACACAAGTGGAGCCATAGCTGTGGATGGGGTGGAGAGGAGAGCAGGTAAAGGACAGTGTGGTGAAGGAAAAAACAAATCTGAGTAGGCTGTTAGGGACGAGGAGAGTTCTCACCTGTGACTCCCAATTCCTGTCTATTTCACACCAGGCTTCTCCCTGGTCACCTCTGAACCCCCACTTTCTGTGGGGTAGACCCGAGACAAGGAGTCAACAACCCGTCTGGACAGTGCTTAATCTCCCCTGGCTCTCCCTTCCAGCCCCAGGCTTTGTGTTTCTCCCTGCTTGCTTCTGGGTCTTAAAGGTTTTCTTGGGGAGGGGAGCACAGTCAGGGAGCCAAAGGCAGGACCCCAAAGGGAGTGAGTCTGAACCCTGAAGCCCATCGAGTGGACAGGCCAGGACCAAGTAGTGCATACCCAATGAGTCAGCCTTCCCTACCCCAAACATCCATTGAACACCTCTGCGTGAGGGGCACTGTGCTAAGGTAAGCCTGGGACCCCGGGACACTGCCCAGGGAGGGGGCGGGGACTCAGGGAAGTCTTCTCTGAGGGAGGGGGAGAGAAGCTCTGAAGGGGGAATGGGAGCAAGCCAGGTGAAGAATGTGGGGGAACAACTTTCAAAACTGAAGAATCAGCATCTGCAAAGGCCCAGGGGCAGGAGGAAATAAATGGAAACCAACCAAGCACACTGGAAGTGACAGCAAGGGGAAACCCAAAGAGATGAGGTCAGGCAGGTGGACAGGGACCACCGCCAGGAGCTGAGGTAAGGGGATTGGATTTCATCCTAAGGGCTACAGAACACCCTGAAAAGGACTTACATGAAGAGACGACGTACTCCAAGTTGCACCGCAAAGATCTCTCTAACCCCATGTAAAATTCCAAAACTGTATTTGTTTGGTGAAAAATAAGAGTAAATAAGCTCATACCTGTTAGAATGTCTGCCACCAAAAAGACAAGAGGGGTTCCTGGGTGGCTCAGTTAAGCGTCCAACTTCAGTTCAGGTCATGATTTCTCAGTCCATGAGTTGGAGCCCTGTGTCGGGCTCTGTGCTGACAGCTCAGAGCCTGGAGCCTGCTTTGGATTCTGTCTCCCTCTCTCTCTCTGCCCCTCCCCCACTCACACTCTGTTTCTCTTTGTCTCTCTGAAAAATAAACATTAAAACATATTTTTAAAAAGACAAGAGATTATAAGTGTTGGTGAGGGTGTGGAGAAAACACAACACTTGTGCACTGCTGATGGGAATGTCACTTGGTGCAGCCACTATGGCAAATGGTATGGAGGTTTCTCAAAAATTAAAAATAGAACTACCATGTGATCCAGCAATCCCACTTCTGGAGATTTATCTGAAGAAGAAACAAAAACACTAACTCAAAAAGGTATCTGCACCCCCAGGTTCATCATAACATTATTTTTTTCATGTTTATTTATTTATTTTGAGAGAGAGAAAGTGAGCAGGGGAGGGGCAGAGAGAGAATCCCAAGTAGGCTCCACGCTGTCAGAGCAGAGCCTGATGCGGGCCTTGAACTCACCAACCGTGAGATCATGACCTGAGCCAAAACTAAGAGTTGGATGTTTAACTGAGCCACCCAGGCGCCCCCATCATAACATTACAATAGTCAAGACATGGAAGAAACCTGAAGCTCACTGATGGACCAGCTGAGGTAAGGGGATTGGATTTCATCCAATATATATGATGGAATATTATTCCACAAAAAGAAAGGAAATCCCGCCATTTGTGACACCATGGATGGACTTTAAGGTCATTGTGCTAAGTGAAATAAGTCAGAGAAAGACAAATACCATAAGATCTCACATCGATAATGAATAAACTTTAAGAAATTAAATATATGTCAAGTAATTTTTTAAAAAGTGCCACCTCTATGTGGGAAAGCTGAATAAATGGTATATAGGCACTCAATATTACATTATTTCTGATGACTGCATGTGAATCCACATTCTTTCAAAATAAAAAGTTAAAAAAGAGGATTGTGTTAAAACATTTGCAACTCATATCACAGAAAGGCTTAATGCCCTTGATATATAAAGAGCTTCTAGATATCAATAAGAAATAATAATAAAAACAAACATGTATTCAGCACATACTATGTGGCAAGTACTATTCTAAGATTTTTCTGTGCATTAATTCATTAAATCCTCACAACATTCCTACATTACCTCCATTTTGCAGATGAGGTGATGGAGACACAGAGAGGTTAAGTAACTTGCCCGAGGCCATACAGCTGGTAAGTGGTAGAGCCAGGACTTAAAATCTGGTAGTCTGGCTCCAGAGTTAAGGCTCTTAAATTCGATATTAAACTCTGTGGGCCTCTAGAAAGGACCCATAACCCAGCCGAATAAACCTGTCAGAGCATATAAATAAAGGAAAAACAGCTGGGCCTATTTTTACCACATGGGTAAATGTAGAGGCAGAGAGAAAGCCAGAGAAGGGTAGTACAGACCTGCCCCTGCATCCTGGGGACCAGCCTTCTTAGGACCTCATCTGTCCCAGCTTGGGCCAGCCACTGTCACACCTCAGTTGTGCCCTTGCACAGACTCCTTTAACACAAAACATTGAGCCTGTCTTGCAAAACCCGCCCCTCTACAGCCACTCACTGCAGGAGGCACTGAGGGAAAGGGAAACAGGCCATGACTCAGCTTTCGCAGGGATACAGCATCCCAGGTGAGGTGGGCAGACAGGTGTGGGACAGGAGGGCTCAACTCGTGAAACAAAGAGGTCTAAGAAGGGAAGAGGAGATCCCTACCCTTAGGCCATTCCCAGCACCCCAGAATGACCCCACGGGACAGATCGGCAGCTCCAGCAAGGGGCAGACAGCATTTTCAGCCCTGGGATGTACAATCTTCTCCTTCAGTTAATCTCAGTCTTGCCGCTCCTGAGGGAAAAATGGAAACAAGTGAAAATATAGCTACAGATACCCGCAAGTACATACAGGCACACACATCTGTGTACATGCAGCTACACACACACCCTGTCTGCATGTCTGAGAATAACTGAGGCCAAAGCCTTCATGCCTGTAGGGGAAGTGAGGGCTGGCTCTCCTTCCTCAGGGCTCAGATATGACAGCAGATGAGGGTGAAGCAGGGAGAGTGATGTGGGTGAAAAGAAGATCTGGTGTCCAGGGCTGAGACTTTTGTCTCTGGGTTCAAAGGTTTAAACAAAGAATGTTTTCCCTGGGTTCAACTCTCTTCGCGGCAGCTTTGGCCTGTTAGGAAACAAGGTTGAGGGAAGTTGAAGGCACCACGTGTCTCCCCAACCTTGAAGGCTATGTGGTGGATAAAGAGAGCACAGGACTCAAAGCAGAACCCCTGGAAGCTGGCAGAGAGCACAGCAATCAGTTGCTTCAATCCATTATTTTCTTGGAAGAGCCTGAGGCCCAGTGAAAAAAGGTGACCAGCCCAAGTCCTGAGGTGAAGTGGTAACAACACTGAGTCCAGAACCAATGGCTTTTGACTCTCTGTCAAGTGCTCTTCCTGGTACTCGCTGCACATGGCATTCTTGGTCATTTCCAAAATGGCATGGCGCCCACAAGACAGCTGGTGGGAGTGTGCTTCCCACATAATAGGTAAAGGTTTAGTTTCTGTTTTATTCAGTACTGTTTGGGGCCATGGGGATGGTAACCATACACTGTCACTCTTAACTGTTATCATAATAATAACAGCCTACATTTATTGAGTCCTTATACTGTGCTGAGCATCACTTCCTGGATCTTCATGACAACCCTGTGATACAGGTACAACTGCTTTCCCCATTTTACAGATGAGGAAACCAAGGCTCAGAGAGGTTAACAGATTCACCCAAGGTCACACATCCAGGAAGTGTTAGTTTAAACCACTTCCCATGCATTTCACAGCTGCCTCGCAAGTACACTGGTAAATAAATATAATTTCAGATACTGTTAAGTACTAGGTAAAGATAAAGCATGGTGAAAGGCAGAAGATGGCCAAGACGGTGGGTCTTTCCTGATCTCTAGGTTGTCAGGGAAAGGGTTCCTGAAGACGTGGTGACATTTGTACAGAATCCAGACTGGCAAGGAGCCCACCGTGCCAAGATCTGAGAGAAGGGCATTTTAGACAAAGGGAACAGTTTGGATTTTCTTCCAAGAATGATTGAAAACTACTGGAAGGTTTCTGCAGGGGTGTGACACGTTTTGCTGTGTGGCAGAGCTGGACAAAAGATTTGGAATCTTCAGGAAATCCGATGATCTTGGAGGAGAAGGGGAGATGGGGCAGAGAGCAAGGGCATGTGGGACCAGCACTCTCATTTTGCTGCCCAAATTCCCAGGGCCCTTCTAATAGGATGGGTAAGCTTTGAAAAGAAAGAAGGACGGTGGTCCCAACTCAGACTATCCCTAGTCCTACCACATCTGCCTCATGGGGTGGAACAGATTTGATGGAGGAGAAGGGCCTGGGGTCTGATGGGGATGGGAGGGGAAGGTGTCCAAGGTGGGAGTTTTTCACAAGACTGTCATCAGGAGGCAGATTTCTGTGGCGGTCACTCTGTCCCACACTTCTTTTTGCCAGGAGAGGGCTGGGGTGAGTAAGCATCCTTCCCCACAAATCACTACCCCCAGGAGATTACTTCGGCTTCCCTCCCCATTGGGAAGTTCCTCTCCAGGGCTCTAGGCTGGATTATTTAGGATTTGGAGGAAGGAGGCCACTTGGGTGCACTGAGACATCTGGGAAAAGCAAGTTCTGTGGACTTGTCTTCCATCCCGCCCCTTTCTCTCAAGCAAGTCTCTGTTCCCCTGTTTGGCCAAGTCCAGACAGGACTCCATCATGTCTGGGGAGGGACAGAGTGGTGGGAGGTGCAAACAGCTCCCTTGGCTGCTGGCTGAACTCACCTTCTTCCTTTCCTCCCCTCCCACTCCCAGGATGTCAAAGAAGCCAAAGAAAAATGAGAGCAGTATTCCTTCCCACAAGCCCACAGGCTCAAGGCTGGAATGGCTCCTGGGCCTGTAGCTACTTGCAAGGCTATTTGCCAGTGACCCTCAGGGCACCCTTAACCCTGCTCCACCACCCTCTCGCTGAAACCTTAAGGTCCCCAGTAGGAAGAGGACTTGGAGGGGCTGATCCTGAATCTTAAACAGTGAGGCAACCATTCCAACCTCTGGACACAGACCCTGTACCAATGCCATTCAGGTCCAGAATGGTTCCTGGCACATAGGGAGATGTGAGGAATAACTGGTAATTGAAAGCTCCAGAAATGAGCCACTGTGTATCAGCCCGTTTTGAGGCCACACCTGAAAGCAGGTTTTGACTTCATGCTAACTAAAGTCCAGACAGATTCCCAGTGAAGTCACTTAATGCACTGAACACCTGCAGTGTAACAGGTATGTGTGTGTATGTTTAACATGTATGTTACATGTCCCCTCTGAGCTGGACTCATTAATTGGATCAATGAAAGCGGCACGATCTTATTAAACATGACCCTTCTGTCCCTGGTTTCTCTTACAAAAAACGGAAGCAATAATACCTCATCATAAAGCTGCTATGAGAATTACTTAGAACAGGACATAAAAAATAGTTGCCATAGGTGCTTAATAAGTGGTGGCTGGTATCACTGTGGCTGTAAAGGTTGAGGTGCGGCGGACAGCTAATAGGCTCAGGGTAGCAGAGCTATAGGACTGGGCAGCCAGCTGCAGTTCCCGACTTTTGGGAAAGATGCCCCGGATTCCCAGCAAGGGGGCCCAACTCCTCCAGAGCAGTGAGGGATCGGGAAGCGGTGAGGGGAGTAGTTTGCTGACTCTTCTAGTGAATTGGGCGCTTCCAGCAACCCTCCCCGTTGCTCCTCACTACCCCCCGCCCACCCCCTATCCCCCAATCCCCGCTTTGCTCACGCCCACCGCCTATTCACGACTAACCTCTACGTGAGCAAGACCTAGCAACACAGCCAGCCGCACCCTCCCTCCTCCTCCCCTTGCCCCCTACCACCCCGCCCCGGGGCCTCTGCTGTCATCCCTTCCTCCTTCACCAAGCCACCCCCAAGGCCCGTGAACACTGAAATCCCCTAATTTTGCAGACTTGTGACATATCCCTGCTTTTCCTTGGGGAGTCACCTCTGCGCCTCCGCGTGGACCAGCAAAAGGGCGGACTAAGTCCGAGAGGGGACCTGCGGTTCCACGGTCTCCTTCCTCTTGCCTCCCGCCACCACCACCCCACCCCCCAGCCTCCTCCAAACCGCCTCGACCTCCCGCCGGGTCGTTCGCCCCGGGGCGCCAGGCTGACACCCTACCGGGAAGCAGGACTCTCGGCCCTGGGGCGCCTTTGCCCAGCCGCCGCACCACCCCAGGTCTCCCCTGCGTCCCCGCGCCTCCGCCCCCGCCCCCGCCCGTGGCACCGCTGGGAACCCTGGGAGGTGTAGTTTTGCGCCGCTCTCGGCAGGGGCGCGGCCAGCTGGGCCTGCGTGCCTTCCCCACCGTCGCGTGTCCGGCTCCCGGGTAGGAGTCTTCGGACCCGCCAACCTCGCTGCGGCGGAGCCCTCGAGCGCCAGAGGGGCTCGTCAGTCGCTGGCCGCTGGAGCCGGCAGTTTCCAGCAGATCTTTGCCCTCCGGCTTTACACAACCCACTTAACCTCTGCAAAACACCCATCTTGTAAGATTGCCCAGGAGAGCATGGGCTCAGGACCTGATGCGAGGTGGCGTGTCTCTGTAAAGGGTGCTGCTGCACTCCCGGCCTGGCAGGGTTGCCAAAGGCAATTCGGCCCCTGGAGGTGGGTTTGGGCCTAGGGCCTGGATGTGTTGATCCCCCCCAAAGCCCCCTCCCCCAAGCCCACAAATTTCTCCCACGCATATTTGGGGCAGGACCTGAGGTGCCCCCTCCGAGTTCCCCTCATTGCTTCTGGCTATCCACAAACACACTCTCCATTTACTCAGAAATATCTGATATTTATTTCCCAACTTTTGATAATTTTTTTTTTTTTTTTTTTTTTTTTTTACAAATTGAATAAATGGAATGAAGGGGAATAAGTGGGACCCCACACCTGGGCTTAGGCTCCCGATGAGAGAGGTGACAGTATGAAAACTTCTCACACACAACTCCTGGCCTGCTGTCCTAACCTCTCCCATCAACCTTACCTAAGACTGAGGTGGGGCTTTTTGAGGATGTGGGGTTCCCCCCTAAAGGGGACTCCGGGCATCCTGTTTCAGGCCCTGAGCCGTGTCAGGCTGGGAGCCAATGTGGGCCCGGATGTGGCGCCGCCTCCGCCTCTCCTGCCTGCGGGCCAGCTGTCGCAGTTGTCTCCGAATGACCCACAGTATCAGGTACACTTCCCACAGCATCTCAGCTTCCGACGACGTATCCACTGGGGACCCAGACCTCATTTGGGAGGAAATGGAGGTAGAACTCACAGATGACTATGAAAGAGAGAGAAATGTGCATAAGTAGCTTGGTCTAGGGAGAAACCGCTGCTGGAAGCACTGCCAGATAAACAGCAACCGCCTTTCTAGTTCCACCTCCTCCATCGGACCTCGCTCAGGCACTGCCTCCTTTAAAGAAGCCTTCCCAGACTGCATTGGATGGTCTTTGTCTCCACCCTTATGTTTGGCCCATCTTGTGGCATTTCGTACACTATTTGTTCTGTGCACCTGTCTGCCTTCTACACTACAATGTGAGCTCCTGAAAGACAGGGACCATGTCTGACTCACCTTGGAGTCCTCACTAGGGCTTCATGGGGATTGTGTTCAAATGAAGGTCAGAATGGCACCCGATCTCTATCTCCAGTCCAGAGCTCCCTCCTCACCTCCAGGCCTGTATATCCCACTACCTCCTAGATACCTCCGTGCAGATGTCCTACTGGCATCTCAACTCATCTTGTCCCAATGCCCTAAACTCCTTACTTGCTCCCCTGAGTGTGCTCTTGCTCCTTCATTCTCCATCCCAGTGAATGGCTCCAGCCTGCTCTGACTTCTGTCTCTCTCCCTTCACCATCATCCAGTCAACCAGCTGGTGCAACAATTCTACCTCTTAAAAAAATTGTTTTCTAATTTTCTTAATGTTTATTTATTTTTGAGAGACAGAGAGAGACAGAGCATGAGTGGGGGAGGGACAGAGCAGGGTGGGTAGACCCAGAATCTGAAGCAGGCTCCAGGCTCCGAGCTGTCAGCACAGAGCCCGATGCAGGGCTCGAACTCACAAGCCGTGAGATCATGACCTGAGTGGAAGTTGGACACCCAACCGACTGAGCCACCCAGGTGCTCCCCCCAAAAAAAATCTTTAATGTTTATTTTTGAGAGAGAGAGAGAGAGAGAGAGAGAGAGAGAGCGCTCATGTACAAGGCAGAGGAGGGGCAGAGAGAGGGAGACAGAGGATCCGAAGCAGGCTCTGTGCTGACAGCAGACAGCCCAATGCAGGGCTTGAACTCAAGAACCACGAGATCATGACCTGAGCCAAAGTCAGACACTTAACTGACTGAGCCACCCAGGTGCCCCAACAGTTCTACCTCTTAAATATCCTGCCTCTCCTCTAGTCCTTTTCTGACCTGCTCTCTCCACAGGGCAGCCAAGTGAACTTTATTATTATTATTATTATTATTATTATTATTATTATTATTATTAAATGCTGTAATACTTCATTTAAGGCCAAAATAAATTGGTTTGGTAGTGATCTAGACACTTCCCTTTTTATTATTTTTTATTTTTAAATATTTTATTTATTTATTGGGGGACGAGGGGCAGACAGAGAGAGGGAGAGAGAATCCCAAGCAGGCACCACACTATCAATTCAGACCCCAATGCAGGGCTCGATTTCACGAAATATGACATCGTGACATGAGCCAAAATCAAGAGTTGGATGCTTAACCAACTGCACCACCCAGGCGCCCACAGGCACTTCCCTCTTTAAAATTAAGTTTCTGACTTTGAGATAATTATAGTCACATGCAATTGCAAGAAATACCAGAGTCCTCAGATATTCTTTACCCAGTTTGCCCTAATATTAAAATCCTGCTGGGGCGCCTGGGTGGCGCAGTCGGTTAAGCGTCCGACTTCAGCCAGGTCACGATCTCGCGGTCCGTGAGTTCGAGCCCCGCGTCAGGCTCTGGGCTGATGGCTCAGAGCCTGGAGCCTGTTTCCGATTCTGTCTCTCCCTCTCTCTCTGCCCCTCCCCCATTCATGCTCTGTCTCTCTCTGTCCCAAAAATAAATCAACGTTGAAATAAAATCCTGCAAAACCACAGTATCATAGTCAGGATACTGACATCCATAGTCCACTGATCTTATTCATATACCTGCTCCCCCACCTGTTGCTTGTACTCATTTGTGTGTGTGTGTGTGTGTGTGTGTGTGTTGAATTCTACCTGATTTTATCTCACATACACAGGTTCACCTATCGAACTGCCACAGTCAACATACAGAACATTTCTATCATCACAAGAATTCCTCATGTTGCCATTTTATAAACAACCTACCTCCCTGCCCCCTCCGCCCCCCCCCCCCCACCGCCAAACCCTAATCTCTGGCAAGCACTAAACCAGGAATCGAGTCTTCATTTCTACAATTTGTTATTTCAAGAGTGACATATAATACAAATAGAATTATACAGTATAGCTATAACCTTTGGGGATTGGTTGTTTTCACTCAGACTAATTCCTGGGACTCATCTACTTCAATAATTTATTTCTTTTTATGGCTGAGAAGTAGTCCACAGTATGGATATATCACAGTTTAACCGTTCATCCAGTGAAGGACACTGGGGTTGGTTTGGGCTGTTATAAATAAAGCTGCTAGGAACCTTTCATGTAGAGATTTTTGTGTGCACATAGTTTCATTTATCTCGAATAAATGCCCAAGAGTACAATTGCTTGGCATAAGATAATTACATGTTCAGTTTCATAAGGAACTATCCAACTGTTTCCAGAATAGCTACCACATATGACAGCAGGCAAGCTTTCTAAATTAAAATCTGATCGTACAAGGGCTCCCATTGCTCTTAGGGTCAAAGCCAAACTCCACAGATGGCCACTCACTCTGCCTTGCACAAGTTGGCCCTTGGCCCTAGGATTGCCCATACCCATCACCTTGGGCCAGCACCTCCCTACCCCAGCCCACTTGCTATTCTATCTTCATGGAATGCTCCCCCCATTCCCTCCTCAACCCACCTGAGGCAGGCCCAATCCTTCAGGCCTCAGTTTCACCCTGTCTTCTTCTAGGAAGGCCTCCTTGACTTCCCAGGTCTGGATGAGATGTCCCTTCCCTGGGCTCCCGCAGACCACTGACCTCCCATGTCACACCCTTAAGACACTGAACCCGCAATGCCTATGACCTTGTCTGTAGCTCCCTTGGCTCCCTTAGTCCTGTTCACCTTGTATTCTCGGTTGCCTGCCTCAGTGCCTGGCACTTAGGAAAGGCACACAAAATAAATGCTGAACAAGTGATGGGAGGGAGGAATGAGTCATAGAGGCTCTGGGAGGGTGGGAGGACCATTGGGAACTAGGGAAATATGGTGCTAACCTTCCAGCTGCACATTTGCCAGCCGCTCTGCAGGGCCGAGACCATGAGCATGGAGACAGACTTGACAGCTGTCCGGGGCAGCTGCAGCAGGGATCGGGCCCTATGACCCGGCTCCACCTTAGCCCTATCTGTTGCTTTGGCCAACTCGCAGGCATCAGCCACCTCGGGGGACTCCACCATCTTGGAAATCTTAGCCTCTTTGCAGGGCTCAACCAACTTGAAAGTCTCAACCACCTTGGGAGTCTTCTCCACCTTCAATACACTTTTCTGGGAATCATGGTGTTCCAAGAAGGTTGACTTAGCTTTTTGTTTCCAGAAGAAAACCTAAGAACCAAGACAGGGAGAGGAAAGACAAGAGGGGCACAGTGGTCGGCAGAAAGGCAAGCACAGAAGGAAAGGGGCAATAGGTGTCCCGGCCTCCTCCCCAGATGGGTTCCCGTGACCTCCAGGAGCAGCACCTCCAACCCCAGCATGTCATGAGGATGGAGCATTCTCTGAAACTCACCCAGCAAGTAATCTTTCGCCAAATCCATCGGAAGAACCTCATAACCACCGCCATTTCTCCCAATACACAAGCACCAAGTAGGGGGCAGGACAAGCATTTGGTACAAAGGGTGGAGGGGACCAGGCTGCAGGCCAGTGGCCACCACCTAAGGGGTCTCTTGGAAGCTTCAAGTGCAGCCAAGAAGAAAGAAATGGAGAATCTAGGGGGAAAACTTTCGCCGACAATTCATCCTAAGCCTTTCCTCCCCTCCCTGAGACAGGGAGAGGAGTCAAAGTGGATGAGAACTCAGAGGAAGGCAGAGTTCTAGCCCATTGTGAGAGCCTACCTACCCCTGACCCCACCCCCCGAGGCCCTTCCAGGATCCCTGGAACCAATCCTGGAGCCCTCAGTTCTCCTTCCCCCAGGTCCAGGGAAGGGAAGCTAACATTTATTGAGCACCTGATACTCACTGGGCATTTCCCAGGTATGATGTCATGCAATCATCACAGCAACCCTTCCGGTAGGTATTACTGTCAGAGCCATTTTACCCGTAGGGAAGCTGAGATTCAGAAAAAAACAAAGAACCTGCCCAAGGTCATAAATGCAGGGAGCCAAAGGGTGGGAAATCCAACCTGGGTCGGCCTCCAGTGTCCCACTCTCCCCCCACAGGTCCCCTTTAGTCTGGGGTCAGGGTGCTCTGAGACAGTTGGCTGCTGCTTCTCCCCCTTCCCCACTAGATGGGGTCCTTCTCTCTACCTGTCTCTGCAGCCTGGGATGGGAGCCCAGCCCAGGCTCTCAGGGAGGGGCCTGCTCACCCACAGGGCCCGTCCTCAGCCAGCTGGGGGTGGAAGCCACAGAGGCCAGCCAGGCCTGGCGAGGGCACCGTGCGCCCGGGGAGCCTGGCCCACACCCAGCGCTGAGACAAGGGGCCCATTCAGGGCCCCCGGCCCCGCCCCCAAGCCACCACCGGGATCCAGCCCGCAGAGGGGACACGCTGGGAAGCTGGGGGTGGATCCTGCACAATTACCAAAGGCCTCATTGTTTCCCTGCCCCCCCCCCCAGCACGTGGGCTGACGCCCCCCTCCTCCCCCCTCCACTCCTTCTGTCTTGCCTGCCTGCCCCTTCCCAGGACCCAGGCCACTGGCTTCCCCACCCTCCCCTCACCCCCTTCCACAACTCTTTTTCCGACCACTCTGTCTGAGCCACATTCAAACCTTCCCAGTCTGCACAAGATCTCTAAGGGAGCCCACAGCCTCAGTCTTTCCCCCACAAGTGGAAATGCCACTGCAGGCCCCATCTGGACACAAGCAACGAGATGCCAACCTCCAGATTCAAGTTTCTTCGGATTTTTTTTAATTATAATTATTATTTTAATAACAACCTGAATCCCAGAACTCGCAGACTGTCCATATTCCCTCCCCTGGGCAGAGGAGAGGGGGTACTTTGAGGGAATGAGGTGGGGATGGGGTGTCTGCCAGGGAGACTCCAACGCCCCCAGCCATCTACTGCCAGGGGTCCCAGAACACTGACACCTCGGGAGGGAGGAGGGCTCCATCTAACACCCCATCCTGAAGCCCTCCCTCCTCCTTCAAGGCCTGGAGATGCCGCAGCTCAGTCCCTGGGCACTAGGGGGAGATTGAGGAAGAGTTGTGGGGGGCGGGGACAGGCCAATTCTGAGCCTTCAACTCCCATCCCCAGGGATCAGGAGGCATTAAAGCTGCATAGGAAGAGGGGGCAGGCAGCTGGCACAAGGCCTGGCAGCTGTGGGAGCCCCCAAAGGCACATTGTGAGGGAAGGGAGGCTCAGACGGAGGGCCCATTGGGCGCAGGGGGCCCAAGCCGCGGGACCCCCGAGGAAGGCAGCTGGGCCAGCTGCTCGGGGCTGGCCAGGGCACGCAGCAGTCCATTCTCCTGCTCCAGCGCGGCATTCCGCTCGGCCAGGTCTCGGATCTGCTCCTTCAGCACCTCCACCTCTTCCCGGACCGCAAACATGAGGTGGGACTTCACCAAGTCCTGGGGGCCCGGGACAGGCAAAGGGTCAGGGGTCCCAGGCCACCCCAACTGCCCAGTGCCTCCAGGGTCTGGGTGTGAGAGATGCCCCTGCTCCCAAATGATGAAGGACCACAGGAGAAGCAGCAAAGCAGGGAAGCGGTGGGGAAGGCGGGGGGCACGGAGCGGAAAGAGGGGACAGAGACAAAGTTAGGGCTTAAAGACAGAGATGGGGGCTGGGTCAGAGACCAAGGGAAATCAGGAGTTCAGGTGGAGACAGGAGGGGGTGAAGAACCCAAGGGAACCCAGCTGGGAGTCAGATGAGGAGCTGGGAGTTAGTATTCCCTAATGAGGACAGCAGAGGAGGGGCAGCAGGACATGAGCTGGGACCACCTGGGACCAAGATGGCTTCTCTTACCATGGCTTGTTCGATCTTGTTGTCAATGCCAACCAGGCTTCCGGAGCCGCTGGGGAGACACAGGGAGATGAGAGGTGAGGGGGAAGAGCAGGTGCCAAACCAGGTGTCTGGACACCGCAGCCAGCTGCCCTCTGGGTCCTTCTCAAAGCAGGCTCTGGCCTCCTCCACAAGCCCCATTCACTGCAGCCTCCCACCCACACCCCTGTCTGTACCTGTGACAGTAGAGAATCAGGGAGAGGAGGGTTTTGTCCATCCCCCGGCGGGGTGAGGGCCGCTGTCCAGGCCCCCCCAGGCCCCGGTGAGGCGGGGGTGCAGATGCCCCTCGGATGGGGGATGCTCCCCGAGGAGAGCAAGGAGAGGAGACACAGCCCCTTTTCCGGGGAGGCCCTGGAGCCATCCCCACCACTCGGGTCTCATACGATGACACCAGGGACTTGACAGAGATGCCTGGCTGGGCCATTCCCAAGGGAAAGGGCTTTAGGCAACCCCCAGAGGGAGAGGGCTGTATCAGATGGACTGCCTGGGGGGCTCAGAGCCCCCCGGGGCAGAGCGGGGTCTGGCTGGTGCCAGGCAGACGGAAAGGAGACAGTGCCTAGGGGGTGCTGGTCTGAAAGATATACACCGCCCCCCAGGGCAAAGCCTGGCTGCTATTGGCTCCTCAGGGACACGGGGACCCCCTCCCACCAACCTCCATGGTGGGCGGGAATTCCCAGACACGGTCAGTGCCAATGTCCCCTTCTCACCCTGGCACCAATCCCAGAGCAGAGGGAAGGGGGCAGGCTGAGGGAAGTCAGCTGGTGGGCTGGGTCGGGGGAGGGACTCTGGGGCCTGAGGCTTGGGTCAGAGAGGGGTGTGAAGGGTGAGGGACAGCCTGGCCTAGGGAGACGTCCCCACTTCTCCACCCATCCCATCCCCTCTGAACTAACACTGGTCTCCCTCAAGCCCTCAGCTCCACTCTGCTGGGATGGGGGTGGGTGGTGTGGTGTTTCGGATTAACTTGTCATCTTCCTTGGACTTGTAAGCACCCCCTGCCCCAGACACAAAGCCCACATCATGGGTGACCCTGGGGCCTGGCCAGAAGGTCTCTGAGGGAGAAGAATGGAAAGGTTACCAAAGCAATGAAAACAGAGCCCTGATAAACAAGCACAGCCTATGGATCTGGAACCGGGGTCTCGGGTCTGGGGTCTTGGAGGGAACAAAGACTTGAGGGGAGGTGGGAAAGTGAGGCTGGAGATGGGACATGGAGAATTGGAGCAAGGGTTTTGAAGGCCCTTGGGAGCCAATGATAGGGGAGAGCAGACCTGGCTGCAGTTTGTTAAGCGGCCACCAGAGGTCGACTCAGGCCTGGCCGAACGGTTCCAGGGCCGGCCTCAGGATCCCTCAAGCAAGTCTTGCCCCTCCGAGGCCAAGGGAGGCCAAGAGTCTGCACAAGTCTTTCCGCCTCGCCCTATCCCCCAAGTCTCCCTCTTGTCACCACTTGGGTCTCAGCCTCCTGCTTCATGCCCTAGCTCATGACCCGCACCTGACCAACCTCTCCCTCAGCCACCTCAGCCCTGGGGCCACCTCTACACCCAGGCCCGCCCCCCCTTGTGCTGCAGGATCACCCATGATCCTGTCCTCCAGCCCTCAAGCTTTGCCCCCCTCAGAGTGGGTGATCTCAACATGCGGCATCCTGCACTCCTGTGCTCCGGTTGCAAGCCCTTTCTCCTGATGGTCGGTTCCAACTCGCTTCCCTGTGGGGGGAATTAGCACTCAATTCAAGGTGACCCTTGGATGAGGCCCTGCAGCCAGGAAGGGAGCACAAGGGAGCTGGGAATTTTCCATTTCCTGTCCAAGCTCTGGGTGCAGAAGGCGCTGACAGGTGGAGTAACCAAGGGGGTGACAGGGCCTGAGAGAGCAGGACAGGGTGGGATGGGCGAAGGACACCAGGGACTCCTGGGGTTGGGGGGACAGGACAAGTTTAAGAGTCGAGGGTGAGCCAGCCAGCTGGAGAGCCATGGCAATTTTCAAGCTATTTCAATCTGAGACACCTGGGTGGAGCCTGGGCCACCACAGGTCACCGCCCCCTGCCCCCCTCCCCAGTACACACAAGACACACAGAGACCAAAGAGGGGAAGATTCACAGGAATAGGAACACTGGCCTTGCTTGGCGGACACTCAGGTAAAGATGCCAAGTAAGTTGTTTGTTCTTGCCAGAAATAAAGGAATAATACAACAATAAACATTTGTTGGCTGATAGATGACTATCTCCTGTTTGTCTAGTGCCGGACAATTTTTGACAGCACTTTCCACTGTCACATTCTAACGTTAATACTTCAAGGGACCAGGACTCTGGCCGGCAACCCAAACGCTCCCCTTGAGAGCGCCCAGAGCAAGCAAGCTGCAGGCACTGTGCCGGAATCCCTGGGCAGGGCCAGGACCAGGAAGCTTGAAGTTAGCTGGGTGGGATCAGCCCCCACCACAAACCCAAAAGGCGACTGTGTGAATTAGAACAAAATGCCCCCCTTTTCAAGACACTTAGTGCCATCTTTCAGAAAACTCACATGACTTCCAAGTTTTGACGACAGTGATTTCAAATGTGAGTGGCGCCCCCTGGGGTTGTGCATGCATGGTATGCACAACTGGGGACTCTGGCTCTGTGGGACCCTTGGGTCTTGGGGCAAGGACAGCCCTAGAGGCTGGTCTTCCTTTTTGAAGGTCAAATGAAACATCCTCAAAATGAGGACCAGATGAAGAAGCGGGACACCTGGAAGAGGCAGAAAGGTTCTGATTCTGGGGACAAGGGCCAGCTCTACTCCCTAGCTATGTTCGGAGGAGCCCGCAGGGGATGGGCCTGAGGCCAACAAAGTGGCATCCGGCTGCCCTCTCTATACTCCCTCCCGGATCTGTGGTGCCTTTGGGGTGGGGCCAGGCCAGAGTGTGGGGGGGGGGGGGGCCAGGGGGGTTGGCTCCTTGCCCAGCTTGGGAGAGCTGTCCCTGCCTCTGTCCTGGAGAGAAAGGGCATCCTAGAGAGGGCTGCCTCCTCCTCTTCTCTTGGGACAT